CTTTTATAGGCTTATGTCCTGGAGTGGGCCCTTTTCCTCCTGAGTAATGTAGGTTTCTGCTTTGGCAATTTCTTTCAAAACAGGCCTGTTTCGTCACAATTAAACACTTGTTCAGGTTTCAATTCTTCACTGTCTATGTATTCCTTGAATTCCTCCACATATTTTTCAGCCGCTTTTTGGTCCAAACTGGCAGCCTCACCATGCCTTATCACACTATGTATACCACTATGATTCTTAAATCTCTCAAACCAACCTTTGCTGGCCTTAAATTCACTCACATCACCACTAGTTGCAGGCATTTTTCTAATTAAATCGTCATGCAACTTCCTAGCTTTTTCGCATATGATCGCTTGAGAGATGCTATCTCCTGCTATCTGTTTTTCGTTTATCCACACCAATAACAGTCTCTCAACATCTTCTATCACTTGCGATCTCTGTTTCGAAAACAAACTTGCACCTTTTGCAAGAACAGTCCTTTCCTTTTTGGGGTTAGCGGGGGGTTTTGTTGGGCCAAAGAAATAGTAAATTTTCCCCATAATTTTTTTTACCACAGGGTTGGCACTAGAAGCTTTCTTGGGGCCCATGGTGACTTATTTTGCAGCTACAAGCACTAAAAACACTGTGATAATATGAAATGTACCGAATGTATGCTTAGATGCAACCGCACTGGCTGGCTTGTAAACACTGGTACCCATGGGGCAGCTGAGGCCACATGTGGGACGTGTCCCAGACGAATCACGTAAGGCGAGTTTTTTATCGTGAGGCGAGACAAAATTTTTGGGTTCAAATGCTTCGTATGGCAGATTTAACCTAAGGCGATGCGTTCATAAGGCAGGGGTCCACTGTATATGAACATTGCACCATACTTTGGTCTCACAGGCCACAAAAGTTAAGTGAAAAAATAAAATAGTGAAAAAAACAAGAAACCTTCGAATAAAAGTAAACCAAAGTTTGCCGGGTGAGTGGCAGCCGCTGCTGTTGCCATACGCGGCTCATTTTCTGCAAACTTCATGCCTCTATATCTCAGCAAGTACTGATGGCAAAAAAAAATTTTTATTGGACTAAAACAATCAGAAAAATAATCTTAATATTTTCATAAGAAATTTTTTTTTTTTTTCGAATATTTTGCGACACCAGGAGACACTTCAGGATTGGGGCTTGCAACAGTCAAAGGGTTAAAGGTGGGAGCATCAGAGGTGAGTGAATCTACATTAAAGTTGGAACATCAAAAGTGAGAGAACAGAGTTATAATAACATAATTGCAAACAAAAAACAGAATGAGTGGGGACTGAAATCATAACAAGTCCTAAAATTCCAAGCCAATGAGTAAGCCACTATGCCAGCTGGCTGAGTGCCTTACACACTGGTTTGGAGTTTTCGGACTCACTTACCATAGGTTCAATGTCCACCCATTCCGTGGTTTGAGAGTTAGCAAGTCAAGGCACTGAAAAAAGGGTTTGAAATGTACACAGATAAATGACTTGATGAAGGCAAGATTAGACGAAGAAAGAAAAATATACTGAGTGTTAATAGGAAGAGAAGACTAAAATTTATTTCAATAAAAAACTTCCCACCTGAGTAGCAATAAGAGACTAATTATGACAATAGTGATAATACACTGTAATAACTTTGTACTTCACTTTATTATGTACAAATTAATAAATAAATAAATAAATACCATGGTACTACATAAATTATAGATTTTAATACTTGGTGACTATACCAAATATAAGTTAATATATATCTTTCTTCTTTCAACACACCGGCTGTATCCCACTGAGGCGGGGTGGCCCAAAAGGTAAAACGAAAGTTTCACCTTTTACATTTAGTAATATATACAGGAAAAGGGGTTACTAGCCCCTTGCTCCCGGCATTTTAGTCGCCTCTTACAACACGCATGGCTTACGGAGGAAGAATTCTGTTTCATTTCCCCATGGAAGTAAGAGGAAATAAACAGGAACAAGAACTAGAAAGACAATAGAAGAAAACCCAGAGGGGTGTGTATATATATGCTTGTGCCAGGGGTAAATGAAAATGGGGAGCCTTTATTTGAGCTATGTGCAGAAGGAGGTTTGGTAATAAGTAATACATATTTTATGAAAAAGAGGATAAATAAATATACAAGGTATGATGTAGCACGTAATGAAAGTAGTTTGTTAGATTATGTATTGGTGGATAAAAGGTTGATGGGTAGGCTCCAGGATGTACACGTTTATAGAGGGGCAACTGATATATCGGATCATTATCTAGTTGTAGCTACAGTTAGAGTAAGAGGTAGATGGGATAAGAGGAAAATGGCAACAAGTAAGAGGGAGGTGAAAGTGTATAAACTAAGGGAGGAGGAAGTTCGGGTGAAATATAAGAAACTATTGGCAGAAAGGTGGGCTGGTGCAGGTATGAGTAGTGGGGGGGTTGAAGAGGGTTGGAATAGTTTTAAAAATGCAGTATTAGAATGTGGGGCAGAAGTTTGTGGTTATAGGAGGGTGGGTGCAGGAGGAAAGAGGAGTGATTGGTGGAATGATGAAGTAAAGGGTGTGATAAAAGAGAAAAAGTTAGCTTATGAGAGGTATTTACAAAGCAGAAGTGTTATAAGAAGAGTAGAGTATATGGAGAGTAAAAGAAAGGTGAAGAGAGTGGTGAGAGAGTGCAAAAGTAGAGCGGATGATAGAATGGGAGAGGTACTGTCAAGGAATTTTAATGAAAATAAGAAAAGATTTTGGAGTGAGTTAAACAAGTTAAGAAAGCCTAAGGAACAAATGGATTTATCAGTTAAAAACAGAGAAGGGGAGTTAGTAGATGGGGAGATGGAGCTTTGGGTAGATGGCGAGAATATTTTGAGGAACTTTTAAATGTCGACGAAGAAAGGGAGGCGGTAATTTCATGCACTGGCCAGAGAGGTATATCATCTTTTAGGAGTGAAGAAGAGCAGGATGTGAGTGTGGGGGAGGTGCATGAGGCATTACGTAGAATGAAAGGGGGTAAAGCAGCTGGAACTGACGGGATCATGACAGAAATGTTAAAAGCGGGGGTCACATAGTGTTGGAGTGGTTGGTATTTTTGTTTAATAAATGTATGAAAGAGGGGAAGGTACCTAGGGATTGGCGGAAAGCATGTATAGTCCCTTTATATAAAGGGAAGGGGGACAAATGAGATTGTAAAACTTATAGAGGAATAAGTTTACTAAGTATACCAGGAAAAGTGTACAGTAGGGTTATTATTGAAAGAATTGGAGGTAAGACAGAATGTAGAATTGCAGATGAGCAAGGAGGTTTTAGAGTGGGTAGGGCATGTGTAGATCAAGTGCTTACATTGAAGCATATATGTGAGCAGTATATAGATAAAGGTAAGGAAGTTTTTATTGCATTTATGGATTTAGAAAAGGCATATGATAGAGTGGATAGGGGAGCAATGTGGCAGACGTTGCAAGTGTAAGGAATAGGTGGTAAGTTACTAAATGCTGTAAGGAGTTTTTATGAGGATAGTGAGGCTCAGGTTAAGGTGTGTAGAAGAGAGGGAGACTACTTCCCGGTAAAAGTAGGTCTTAGACAGGGATGTGTAATGTCACCATGGTTGTTTAATACATTTATAGATGGGGTTGTAAAAGAAGTAAATGCTAGGGTGTTCGGGAGAGGGGTGGGATTAAATTATGGGGAATTAAATATAAAATGGGAAGTGACACAGTTACTTTTTGCTGATGATACTGTGCTTATGGGAGATTTTAAAGAAAAATTGCAAAGGTTAGTGGACGAATTTGGGAATGTGTGTAAAGGTAGAAAGTTGAAAGTGAACATAGAAAAGAGTAAGGTGATGAGAGTATCAAATGATTTAGATAAAGAAAAATTGGATATCAAATTGGGGAGAAGGAGTATGGAAGAAGTGAATGTTTTCAGATATTTGGGAGTTGACGTGTCAGCGGATGGATTTATGAAGGATGAGGTTAATCATAGAATTGATGAAGGAAAAAAGGTGAGTGGTGCATTGAGGTATATGTGGATGCAAAAAATGTTATCTATGGAGGCAAAGAAGAGAATGTATGAAAGTATAGTAGTACCAACACTCTTATATGGGTGTGAAGCTTGGGTTGTAAATGCTGCAGTGAGGAGGCAGTTGGAGGCAGTGATGTCCTGTCTAAGGGCAATGTGTGGTGTAAATATTATGCAGAAAATTCGGAGTGTGGAAATTAGGAGAAGGTGTGGAGTTAATAAAAGTATTAGTCAGAGGGCTGAAGAGGGTTTGTTGAGGTGGTTTGGTCATTTAGAGGGAATGGATCAAAGTAGAATGACATGGAGAGCATATAAATCTGTAGGGGAAGGAAAGCGGGGTAGAGGTCGTCCTCAAAAAGGTTGGAGGGAGGGGGTAAAGGAGGTGTTGTGGGCGAGGGGTTTGGACTTCCAGCAAGCGTGTGTGAGTGTGTTAGATAGGAGTGAATGGAGACAAATGGTATTTGGGACCTGACGATCTGTTGGAGTGTGAGCAGGGTAATATTTAGTGAAGGGATTCAGGGAAACCGGTTATTTTATATAACCGGACTTGAGTCCTGGAAATGGGAAGTACAATGCCTGCACTCTAAAGGAGGGGTTTGGGATACTGGCAGTTTGGAGAGATATGTTGTGTGTTTTTATACGTATATACTTCTAAACTGTTGTATTCTGGGCACCTCTGCAAAAACAGTGATTATGTGTGAGCGAGGTGAAAGTGTTGAATGATGATGAAAGTTTTTTCTTTTTGGGGATTTTCTTTCTCTTTGGGTCACCCTGCCTCGGTGGGAGACGGCCGACTTGTTGAAAAAAAAAAAAAATGTATGTGTAGTGTGACCTAAGTGTAAGTAGAAGTAGCAAGACGTACCTGAAATCTTACATGTTTATGAGACAGAAAAAAGACATCAGTAATCCTACCATCATGTAAAACAAGTTCAAGCTTTCTTTTTACACTCACTTGGCAGGACAGTAGTACCTCATTAAAACTTATTAAAGCAATAATTAAAATAATAAAAATATTACTTCAACATCGGTGATAGGCTCAGTCACATTTAGTTGTAAGCAAACAGCTTTTTTGCTGCCTCCACTATTGCTGTTACTATTGCTGCTTCCACTACTGCTGTTGCTGCTGCCACTGCTATTATCATCAGGAACCTCTTCTTGCTTCTCTGCTGAACCTGAAGACATAAGGACTTCTTCTTCCACCTAGAAATATAAAAATTAAGGAATTACACACAGTACTCATCATTCTAGATTTTAAAAACAAGCAGTATAGTAGTCCCCCAACTTATGATGTTCTATGTTAATGATATTGGCATTTTGGAATAAATTAAATACTTATGGATGCTGACCTAGAGAAACTTTCATTTTTCCTTTTAGGTCACACTGCCTCAGTGGGATATGGCTGGTTGGAAAAAAAAATCCTGACTTGCTGTTTTGATTGTTGCAGATACTCAAACATTACAGGTCCCTCTCGCTTTATGTGATAGGTGTGTTCCGGGCCCACAGTACATAAAGTGACTCTATTATGACTTGTAAAATATAGGAATTCATTCTTAGACTTTGCAAATTCATCATATCTTTATTGCTTACCCCCAAAAAATATTAGCTTACCACACATGCACTATATGGTAAGATACAAAAAGAAATTAATTTAGTCGAAAAACACTTGAAAAATAAAATAAAAACATTTATCAGAATCCTCTTCTTTTACCCTTTCTCCTACCTCCACCACCACCTAAACAGTCTGTCCTTATTTGGGTTAACATGCACATGTTATGAACCTGTGAATACCTATCCTCCCACTACCCTTTCCTCCCTTCCTCCTTCCCTAAGCTCAACTTTGTGTTGGTGCAGTTAAACTTCATCTGGCTGAATGCCTATTTTCTGTTTTCTTCCTGGTCATTACTTCTTATGAGTCAAAATAAGCCAGTTTAACCCTTCCACTGTCTTGTACATAGATCTATGTTATTAATGCCAGTGTCACTCATGTAGATCTATGTTTTCAGTACAGTGCCCTCAAATATATTGAGAGCAGTAAATTTTGGACTAGACATGAGAAAATGGATCCGTGCGATGAGTGTACACAGTATAAAAAATTGTGCCCCGCTATCTAATTCTTCCACCTTCCTCTTTGCTGGATCTGGGTGCTGGCTCCATAACACTTGGTCATAGCTGAGAAATGTTATGCTGTCTGGCAAGACCTCTCCTTTGATTACTACAGTCTTCCTAACAATCTGTTTTTGTTTTTATGGATTCCCAGTTTTCTTTGAACCTCTTTTCTCATTAGTGTCTCAAATGTAGTCCCTCCTCTTTGTTCTCCTTTGTGTTCCAGGCTTAGACCTCTCTTAATGAAAGATTGTGCCCCACATCAGATTCAAAGCAAATGCTGTTACAAATGAGATGGCCTCCCTTCTAATAGTTATACTGCTTGCTTTGGATCAAATGGTGTCTTTCTCTGGGGTCTGTCTGAAGCAAGGTTTGTTGTTTAATGCCAGGAACTGCAATATGCTCTCAGTTGTGCAGGCCTTGTATAATCGTTACCACCGTGCTCATGGCTTGGAAGTACTGCTGAATCCCTTGTGTATCAGGCATGCCTTCCCTTATGACACATCATTAATGCCTTTAACCGAGACTGAGCTCATAATGCTGGTGGTGCTTCACTCTGGGGAAGACTCTTAGCTACTTCCTTCTCCAGCCACAACTCTGATTGGCAGTAAGGTTCATGAGGCTTCTCCAGCTTTCACAGTTCTTGTATCCTAACTAGAAATTACTTGTCTGTACAGAGCCTAATTATTGGTCTGACTTATAAAGAAGCATCCTAAAATGTAAATACAACACTGCACATTACAAAAAAACTATGTGTAAACTAACCTCAGTATCTTCCTCCATATTTGCCTCAGTGAGAGAGTAGTCAGACAAGTGTTCATCTTCATCATCTGTCAGGCCTTCTGGCTGAAAACAAAATCCATATAATTTGCAATGCAACATTTTATTGCTTTTCTCTTTATCTATGGGCTGTTTAAGAGCTTTTTCTGTAATCAAATCCAAAATCCAGAGAAAGCATTTAGCATAACTTAAGCAATATAATACTGTACCAATGCAACACCTCAATATTTTCTAAGATACAGCAGTACTTAAGTGTTTTAAAAGAATATGGACTGCAACAAATTTACAAACTACTCAATAAATAAAAGTAATATACCACATTATATTTTAAAATCCAATAAGAACAGAAAACTAACATAGGAACTTAAGTGACTGAAAAAAAGCATTATTGTTTGGCAAAAAATGTCGAAGTGTTTACATTTTGTGTCCTTACAACAAACCCCAGTCTATCTCATAGTTACTTCAGTTACACAAAGGGTGTAGCAATAATGTTATCAACACATCCTAGCAAATTAAGTTTGGCACCTTGTAGTAGTGGTAAGGTGTTTGACTTATAACCAAGAGTACAGGCCTACCTAGTTAATACGGCACTCGCTTTAGAGCACTTCGCTAATGTCGCACTTCAATTACAGTGGTACCTTGACTTACAAGTGCTCCAACTTATGAGTTTTCCAAGTTATGAGCCGTCGCTCAGTCGAATTTTTGCTTGAGTTGCGAGCCAAAATCCGAGTTACGAGCGAACTTCAGATACATCACCACTCACAGGAGACACTGAGGAAATATTAAAAACCTCGATAATAACCAATGTGTAACATCCTTGCAATTTTGATACCACTGGTAGTGTCAACCTGCCAGAATGTTCTATAATGCATGCCTTAAGTAAAGAGAAAAATTCTGGAACATGTGTAATACAGTGGACCCCCGGTTAACGATTTTAATCCGTGCAAGAGGGATAATCGTTATGCGAAATAATCGTTATGCGAATGAATTTTCCCCATAAGAAATAATGGAAATAAAATTAATCCGTGCAAGACGCCCAAAAGTATGAAAAAAAATTTTTTTTACCACATGAAATGTTAATTTTAATACACACAAACTGAAAAAGGCATGCACAATTACATGACACTTACTTTTATTGAAGATCTGGTGATGATTGATGGGATGGGAGGAGGGGAGAGCATTATCTTCTTACTGTTTAGAAGGGGAATCCCCTTCCATTACGACTTGAGGTAGCAAGTCCTTTTCCGGGGTTACTTCCCTTCTTCTTTTAATGCCACTAGGACCAGCTTGAGAGTCACTGGACCTCTGTCGCACAACAAATCTGTCCATAGAGCTCTGTACCTCCCGTTCCTTTACGATTTGTCTAAAATGGGCCACAACATTGTCATTGAAATAGTCACCAGCACGGCTTGCAACAGCTGTGTCAGGGTGATTTTCATCTATAAAGGTTTGCAGTTCAACCCACTGTGCACACATTTCCTTAATCTTTGAAGTAGGCACAATGGATTCCACAACTGGCATAGGCTTCTCAGGGTTAGCCCCAAACCCTTCAAAATCTTTCTTAATTTCCATACTAATTCTCACCCTTTTACCACAGGGTTGGCACTAGAAGCTTTCTTGGGGCCCATGGTCACTTATTTTCCAGAAACAGCACCGAAAACACTGTAATAATACGAAATATTCCGAGTGTATGCTTGGATGTTACCGCGGAGGCTGGCTGGTAAACAATGGGACGGCCGGCACATGTGAGGGCACATTGGACGCGTCTCGGACGAAAATCGGTAAGCGGGTTTTTAATCGGTATGCGCGGCAAAAATTTTGCGATAAAAGTAATCGGTATGCGGAAAAATCGCTATGTGATGCCATCGTTATGCGGGGGTCCACTGTACATGTTCGGCAGGCCGGATGGTTGGGTGGCCAGCTGACTGGCTGGCTGGCTGATTTGCTTTGGCTGTCTCTATCTCCTTCTGTCTGTCTCCTCTCTGTCTCTGTCTACCTGTGTCTCTGTCTCTGTCTCTATCTCACAGGTACGTAGCCCGGTGGCCTGGTGGCTAAAGCTCCCGCTTCACACACAGAGGGCCCGGGTTCGATTCCTGTCAGGTGTAAACATTCAGACACGTTTCCTTACACCTGTCCTGTTCACCTAGCAGCAAATAGGTACCTGGGTGTTAGTCGACTGGTGTGGGTCGCATCCTGGGGGACAAGATTGAGGACCACAATGGAAATAAGTTAGACAGTCCTCGATGACGCACTGACTTTCTTGGGTTACCTTGGGTGGCTAACTCTCCGGGGTTAAAAATTCCAACGAAATCTTTTATCATACATACAGTTATACATAGTGTAAATTACCTAGGATAACCCAAAAAATCCAAACAAAGTGCTATACTATGCTTGTAGATATAAGGCATAATAAGCATGACTGGCAAGTGATACACATTTTCCCTTGTTCAGGAATCATGCGTGATGACTCTGCAGCATGTGTAATACCTGCTGGTTCATGAGTGGCTCTCTGAGACAGAGAGACAAGTAAGACTGAAACACAGGCAGACAGAAAGACAGATAAGCAGAGAAAGATAAACATAGAGCTAGACGGACAGTCAAATAGATAGTAACAAACAGACAGACAGAAACAGACTGACAGACATGTTTATGTGTAACAGTGAAAAATAAAGCCAAGGTAGTGCACGATCACCAAATATCACTCGATGCTGCATTGTCAGCAGTGAAGTGACACTCATCTTACACCGTGCTTCAAGGAGATTCATATATACACTCCAGCATTTCTAAAACATTGTTGGGACCTGGCAAATAAGGCAAAAATAATTTCTTATTTATGACTACATTTTTCTTATTTAAAAACCCGTAGCAATTTTTTTTTTTTTTTTTTTTTTGGGGGGGGGGCTGGAACGGATTAATGGCATTTCAATTAATTTCAATGAGGAAAATTGATTTGATATACAGTGGACTCCTGGATTACGACATTAATCCGTTCCAGAGAACATGTCTCTAACCTAATCTGTCGGAATCTGAATTAATTTTCCTCGTAAGAAATAATGGAAATCCAATTAATCCATTCCAGACACCCAAAAGTATTAAACAAAATAATTTTTTCACATGTACGATCAAATTGAGTTACGAGCTCGGTCACGGAACAAATTAAACTCGTAAGTCAAGGTACCACTGTATATTCATGTTAATTATTTTTGGCACTTGCCTTGCTCTTAAGATCATTTTTGGCAATTTTTTATTTTATTTATTATTTTTACTTTTGCATAGTTTTTTAGGCCAAGTAGTATTACACACTTAATAAATGATAGTAAAAACATGTTTTTAGGCTTTTATATGCAATGGTAAGTGAAAAAAAGGCCGTGATTTGCTTTCAGGTGACAAATGCTTTACGACACTGGTCTGGAACCTAACCTGCCATATTAGTGAGGTATGCCTGTACTCAGGTTGAGCTCTTTTTATTTTTAACTGCTACCTTGCAGTAATTACATACTGTAACAAACAAACAAATTTCATTTCTTTGTGCAGTATAAAAATGTAGTGTACATATAATAAAATATTGTTAAGCCAAAAGAAAGCCACTAGCATGTGTGTGCATTTCAGGAAGGAGTTTGTTGACTGCAGTGGGTCACATTCTGTGAGACCTTAAACAGGAGTCCAATGTAAACAAACCACATTGCATGTCTTAGGTTATCCTGGGTTATTAACTCTTCAGGATTACTAATTTGAATAAAGTCTACATATCTTTACCAATCTCTACCAATACCTGTCTGCCTCCATACCTGCCTGTCCCCTTCCCACTCTGCCTGCCTGTTCCTCTCCCATCCTGCCTGCCTGCCTGTTCTCTTCCCACTCTGCCTGCCTGCCTGTTCCCCTCCCACCATGCCTGCCTGCCTGCCTGTTCTCTTCCCACCCTGCCTGCCTGCCTGTTCTCTTCCCACCCTGCCTGCCTGCCTGTTCCCCTCCCACCATGCCTACCTGCCTGCCTGTTCTCTTCCCACCCTGCCTGCTTACCTGTTCCCCTCCCTTCTCGCCTGTTTCCCCCTCCCACCCTGCCTGCCTGCCTGTTTCCTCTCCCTCCCTGCCTGTTTCCCCTCCCTCCTTGCCTGCCTGCCTGTTTCCCCCTCCCTCCCTGCCTGTCTGTTTCCCCCTCCCTCCTGCCTGCCTGCTTTCCCCTCCCTCCATCCCTCCCTACCTGCCTGCTTTTCTCACTGTCTGCCTGGTACTTGTACCTCAGTTGATAGCACACTCAGCTCACACACTGAGTGTCCGTGGTTCAATCCCTGGCATGAGTGGAAACATTGGGCATGTTACCTTATACATGCTGTCCCTGTTCACCCAGGAATAAGTACCTGGGTGTTTGCTTACTGTTGTGGGTCATATCCTAGGGGACAAAATTAGAGGACCCCAACTGAAATAAGACAGACAGTCCTTGATGATGTACTGACATTTATTGGGTTATCCTAGGTGGCTAACTCTCTGAGCAAAAATCCAAAGAAAATCTCTCCATGCATGCGAACATGCATGCCTGCTTCCGTGTCTGCTTCCATGCATGCCAGAACTGTCTGCTTGCTTTGTTTGCCCTGCCTTTCCTTGCTCTCCTTTGACTATGTAAGCTAGAATGCTGGTTAGCTTTAAAAACAGGCTGGACAAATTTGAATGAGAAATTATTATTATTATTAACATTAGGGGGCTCTAAACCTGTAGGGTTTATACAATTCCTGTGGATGGGGGGGGGGGGTATGGAAGGTATTCAAGCTCAATTCAGGGAACTAGAGCACAGATCCAAGAGCCCTTCACCAGCATCAAGGAACGTTCCTTGAGGGTTATGAGTGAGAAAGGTTTGATTTCAGTAGGTACTGCCTACTATGGACCAGTAGGCCTACTGCAATGCAGCCTTAGTTATATGTTAATCAAGTGTTAATTTTTGCTATGCCCTCCCTTGAGTTTTGGTTAGAATAGTACTGTAGTACCACAGGTTACAATACCTGTATTCTTCTGTACTGTGGTTTGGGATTTTAACCCATAAACAGTCCAAATGTATATATACGTTTTTACTGCTACTGCCCCAAACGTATATTTACGTTTTATTTTTCATTCCTTCAAAATTGGCGCAATAGGCCTGAGTCACCTAGACATAAGAGAATGGATGTGCGCACTCAGTGTGCGCAGTATCAAAAAAATCTGGGACGCCTGGGTACCGCATGGTAGGACCAGTTACATTCAGCTCCATCTTGGGTCAACATCATGGCACATCCTCGTGATTCACTCACGCCTCATTGTATTAGCACTCTATTATTCAAGGAAAGTGATATGGAACCCAAGTTTAGCGGATTTGACACAGATGTGGCTACTAATAATCAAGGAAATAGTGAAAATATAGACGATAACCCAGATGACCCTCAGCCCATCACCTCTGGGGTGGCCAGTGTGGCCACACCAGACCCTGGGCCAAGCACTTCTGGGGTGGCCAGTGTGGCCACACAAGACACTGGGCCAAGCACCTCTGGAGTGGCGAGTGTTACACATAGGCAACTATGCAAGAGGAAACTATCATTTCCCGGTGTTTTAGTGATAGTGAAAGTGATATAAGTGACGATGAGATTGATTTTATGCCATTAGAGGATTCATCTAGTGACAGTGACTATTATTCACCAGTGAAGCATACTTTTAGGCATCAGTACCTACGTCATTACCCATTTGCAGTCGGTGACAAGGGTCATGGCAGGTCACAATCCAAAACCCCTGCCACTGATAGTGAAAGTGGTCATGAAGGTGAATATGCAGGGATGAAGGAAATAGTGGTGGGTGGCACGGTGCCTGGACCACATGGCGCGGTGGGTGGACAGACAAAGGACCGCCCGGCACCCCCTCAACCATGTGTTGCCTCCACTCCTGTCCCCCCTCCTGCTCCCCCATGCCCCATGCCAGAGGTCCACCCTGCACCATGTGACCGAGAGTGGAACTGGACACAAAGTATATTCGTGCCAGAGTGAGTAGAAGTGGCATCCTGCCAGAATGTCCCATAACGAATGAGTCTACAGAGTTAGACTTTTTCCAGTTATACTTTGACGAGCCTATAATAAACTTGATAATGACCCAGATGAAGAATTATTACCGCTATATCATGGACAATACACCAGAGGTTGGGGAATCGTCACGGCTGCGCAGATGGAAAGATACAACAGTGGATGAAATGTATTTATTCCATGCCACTGTCATGCTTATGCCACATACCTATAAGAACAATATACCTAACTACTGGGCCACAGACTACTTTATCAGTACTCCTGTCTTCTGTGACCTCCTTCCCTGCAACAGATTCATTCTAGTGCTATGAATGTTGCACTTCTCAGACAGGAATAGGCCCAACAGAAATGACTTTCTATACAAAATCCGGGAAGTGTTTATCTATATGAAGCAGAAATTCAGTGCCTACTTTTATCCCTTCAAGAATATTGTTGTTGACGAGTCCTTGATTCTGTTCAAGGGACGCTTGTCATTCAAACAATATATACCAAGCAAACATCATCGCTTTGGTATAAAACTTTTTGTTATGTGTGACTGTGAGAGTGGTCTTATGTTGGATGTGATTGTATACACCGGGAAAAACACACTCGACAATACCAGATGCATGTTGGGCATTTCTGGTGATGTTGTTCAAAAAATGATGGAACCATTCCTTGGCAAGGGCCATACATTGTACACAGACAACTGGTATACAAGCCCTATGCTCGCTGATTTCCTACATGTGAACAATACTGATATATGTGGAACAGTGAGAAGGAATAAAAAATATATGCCAAGGTTCAGTGGAGGCAGTATTGAAGGTGCAGTGCAAGGATTTCATGCCAATGACATCATGGCACTGACGTGGCATGACAAACGGGACGTGACATTGCTGTCAACCATCCACAGAAACAAGATGGTACAAACAGACAAAGTGAACAGGGAGACCAATGAACGTATTGCCAAGCCAGCTGCTGTTGTCAACTATACAAAAAATATGTGACTCATTGACAAGTGTGACATGATGATAGGGTTCGTTGACTGTGTGTGTAGGAGTCGCAAGCTGTATATAAAACTGTTTTTTCACTTTGTAGACATTGCAGTGCTCAATGCATTCAATATGTATGAAATAAAGACTAGAAAATGACAGCGTTTTGCAGAATTCTCCCTGAATGTCATAAAACAGATAGCAAAAAAGTATGGTACCACACCTGTATCCTGCCCCTCAACAGTGACCTGTCACACCACAACCTGTCCCCCAACCACAACCACAGCCAGTGGAGGAAGTGCCAGACCGAATCATCCCTAACTGTCACTACTTGGTACCAATACCACCTACCCCAAAGAAGCATTCCCAGAAAAAGTGTGTTGTGTGTGCTACCACCACAAAACGACCCCAACAGCGAAAGGACACATGATACATTTGCAACCAGTGTGGGGTGGCACTCTGTATGAATCCATGCTTCATGGAGTATCATACAATCGTGGAGTTCTAGAATCATAAGTGGGACATGTAAATACTTGTATATAGTTGTAGATAATAATGTGTGATTGAGCCAGGTGTGCAAAATCACCTGTCAGTGTGTACATGTGTGTCTGTGACAATATGATAATAATTTTGTATATATTATTGGTGTATAAGCAACAACTGACATTGAAATCAAAAGAATTACTGTAAAACATAAGTATCGTATCAAGAAAACCAAGAAAAAAAATGGAAAAAACAGTAAATATGTAGAGTTTCTGCAAACGGCAGTGCTCCATGTTGTCATCAGGTGATCGCCAAGTGTCAACTTCGCGGCCTCATATCTCGATAAGTACTGACCCTAAAATTTTTTTTTTTATCCTATAACACTTAGAAAAATGTGCTCTTTTTTCTATAAATTTTTTTTTTTTTATTTTTCAAAATATTCGGGGCACTGGGGTAGTGAACGTATATATACGTTTGGACCATTTACGGGTTAAGGGCCTCTTAGCAGTCACCTCCACCTCCTCTAGAAAGCTTACCAAAGGAAACTGGACATGAGTGAAAAAAGACGAGACAATAGAAGCCTAAAGCTAAAAAAAAACATAACCGACTAACCTTAAGTTTCAAAAGGATTTCTCTGAGAGGAACATTTTCCAGCTCAGGATCCATCTCCTCTTGTTCCAATTCTCTTCCTGCATTATCATCTACCAAAATTTCACTTCTTCTTTCTTTCTCTAAATGACCATCCCCCTCATTCTTTTCATTTTGTATTTTGTAAAAATATTTACTATTTTTTTCTAAAAGTTTGCAATTTACATCATCTTGTTCAACTTTAGGGTGGTCATCTTGCACTGCATCTGCGATGTGAGCAGAGTGATGCCGGCAATGGTAGGTGACTTCTTCTTCTAACTTGGGACAATAGTCTTGTGATGCAGTACCAATTTTAGTTGCAAAGGGTTGTTTATCATTATCTTCTCCAAGTAACGTTGGTTCACTCAGGTCATCTCCATCTGGTACTGAAGAGTCAACACCTTTGCAAGGTTTTTTAGAATGAAGTGAATCACCATTTACATTTTGTAATGGTGAAGTACACTCAGTATACTCTAATGATGAAAGCTCATCACTAGTTACAGTACTCGATTCATCTTTTTTATCTGCATGATTAAATGTTGTATGATGATTAAGAGTGTTATCAATATTTATATCCTTTAGTTCTTCTCCATCTTCTATTGAACATACTTCTACTGTGAGCACTAACAAGAAACTGATCATGAATTCTGAAAATACAAAGGTTGAATGAATATACTGTTATAAAAGTAACTAACTTCATGTATAGTCTATGTAGAGATTAGATTAGGTTTTGTGCACCCATATCCATCCTGTGGATGGTAGTGCAAAAGCATGTGGATACACAAAAGACCTAGGGACTAGGCTTCAAAAGGGTTAATTAATAGAAGTGCATCTGTATTTAGATCTACAATTGACTTATCTATTGCAAATAAAATTTACGAAATCTGTTTGCAATGTTTGGTATCTTATTTTCATTAACAAGATATCTTGACATATCACATAGGTTATTATACAGTCTATTTCTGCTCTACAGCATTTTGCTAATACAGGGGTTTTCAATGATACCCATTCTTCATATATTCAAACTTCCTACAATAAATATATTCACCACTCACTATAAGCAAAGGATGAAAATATTTTAGGGTAAGTAATGTGTATACTGTACATGCATTTTTAAGCCTAGCTATTGTTTACTTAATATATGATAGTGTAAACATGTTATCAGACTTTTTTTATGCATTTGAAAGTGAAAAAATTGCTATGTTTCACTTTACAGCTATTTTCACTTTACAACAGTAACCTAACCTGCTGTATAAGTAGGGCCCTCCTGTATTCCCTAATAAGTGAACAATAAAGCACATAGCATTCAAGTGACCACAGGATTGACCACCTACTTTGCATTTGGTTTGTTCATCATCTGTGTGTCTGCCAACCTGCCAGAGGTACTTGTAACCAAGCTCAAGCCTGGCCACTACATCTTTCAGTCTGTTCACATTGCAAGTTGCTCCATAAGTGTACCTATCTATACCCATGTTATCAGAGTAGATAATAGATCTACTCAGGCTTCTAAATGCATTCATATAACATTCAGTTTCTTTACCTGCAGTGAGTTCTAAATTTTGGTGCCTTTTATATGCAAGGGGTGTATGAGCAGGTTGAATCATACATGTGGAAGGTCACAGATACCTGTTCTTTGTATTGTCTCTCTGTGCTGTGAGGCAGCTCTCTGGACAAAATTTAAACCCTGGATTAATGTTTGAATTGAGTGTCCTGTAGACACAGCATGTACAGTAGAAAGTGTGAAATGTGTGGCTACTTTATTAGGTACACCTGCTGTTTATTATAAATATCTAATCAGCCAATCATGTAACAGCACCTCAATACCTACAAGCATGCCGGAAGAAATGTGATGTTAGTGACTTTGACTGTGGAATGATTAGTGGTGCCAGACAGTGTAGTTTGAGCATCACAGAAACTGCTGATCTCCTGGGATTTTTACACATAGTCTCTAGAGTTTACAGAGAAGGGAGTGAAAGACACAGAACATCCAGTGAGGAGAAGTTCTGTGAACAAAACCACCTTGTTAATGAGAGGTCAGAGGAGATTGGCCAGACTGGTTCAAGCTCACAGGAACATAAGAACATAAGAAAGGAGGAACACTGCAGCAGGCCTGTTGGCCCATACTAGACAGTAATTCAAATAATCATGTGTTACAACAGTGGTATGCAAAAAGCATCTCTGAATGCACAAAATGTCCAACCTTGAAGAGGATGGGCTACAGCAGCAGATCACATTGAGTTCCACTCCTGTCAGCAAATAACAGGAAACTGAGGCTACCCTGGGCAGAGGCTCACCAAAACTGGACACTTAAAGATTGGAAAAACATCACCTGGTCTGACAAATCATCATTTCTGCTGCAACATGCAGATGACAGGGTCAGAATTTAGCATAAACAACATAAATCCATGGGTCTATCCTGCCTTGTGTCAATGATTCAGGCTGGTGGTGTTGGTGTAACGGTGTGGAGAATATTTTTCTGGTACACATTCGTCCATAATACCAAATGAGCATCATTTAAATGCCACAGCCTACCTGAGTATTGTTGCTGACCATATGCAACCTATTATGGCCACAATATACCCATCTTCTAGTGGCTACTTCCAAGAAGATAACATGCCATGTCAAGAAGCACATGTCATTTCAAACTGTTTCCACAAACATGACAATGAGTTCAGTATATGTACTCCAATGGCCTCCACCGTTACCAGATCTCAATCCAATAGAGCACCTTTGGGATGTGGTGGAATGGGAGATTCGCAGCAGACAAATCTGCAGCAACTGCATGATGCTATTATGTCAACATGGACCAGTATGTATTCAAACTAATATGGGGGCAAAGGGGAGGGGGGAGGCCCTTCCCAGTACTAAAAGGGTGCACCTAATAGTGGCCACTCTTGTATATACAGTATAGAAGGGCCACGCATATACAGCACCTTTTTCAATGTTCCACATTTTCGTTGACTTTCAACTGAGCCACTGCTCCACCCACTGGTGACTATCACTGGCAGGTGGAACATAATGAACAATGGCTCAATTTGAAGCCAATAAAAATGTGGGACACCAAAAAGGTGCAGTATATGTGGGGGCTCTCCTGTACAGCTATAGGTCACTAATACATCTGGTTATGTTCCAGACCATTGCCATAAAGCGAATATCACCTTAAAGTGACTCATAACCTTTACTTTTACTTGTCAGTGCATATAAAAGACCAAAAATATGTTTTCACTCTCATTTATTAAGTGTGCAATAGCACTAGGCCTAATAAAAAGATCCAAATGTAAAAATAATAAATAAATTGTTATTGAAAATTGCCAGAAACCATCTTAATTAAGAGCAATGCAAACACAAAAAATAATAAACATCAATATAATTGAAAAGCACCATATTAATAAAGTGCTCTAAAGCAATTGCAGTATTAATGAGGTTTACCTGGATATAATATTAATATATATTTGAGCGTGAAAATTAAGAACGAGACTGAGATTCCTTATTTCTAATCACTGCATTACAAAATATACAATAATCATCAAGCCATCATTAATCCGGCAATCACTTATCTGGTTCCATCAGTAATCTGGCACTAATTTCAGCTAGCCTAATTTCAAATTTCATTATACTGACTCAGATCATTATACTAACTCAAATTTCATCATTATACTGACTAAGAAATTGTGCAATGGTTGTAAATCCACAGCAACAAACCAGTGGAGGAGAAGGCAGTGATGAAAATGAGGAAGATTTAGCAGTCTCTATTGATACGATTAATTGTATTCTAACCTAACCACTCTGTAATCCAACAAACTCACTAATCCGGCAGACTACAGGTCCCAATGATGCCAGATTAGTGATGGCCGACCTGTACACAGTTTGGTTTATTACTTTTAAGACTCTGTAGGTAGTATTAACAGGGATTAAAAAGATACAAGTTAAAACATAATTCATTAAAAAAATATTTATTTTATAATTGTCTAGTTTAAAAAAGGTGATTCAACTAATTTATGAACTTAAAATACAAACAGTTAATATAATCAAATAATAGCTTATTTATTTTTCAGCATGATTTCTTAATATTTTTAGTTGATATTGATTTTACAATGTATACAGCTACAAACAAGAAGAATAACAAGGAAGAAATAATAACTTACTGATCTGCAATGTGTGCCTCTGCATTTTAACCTGCACATGAAGACAGTTATCAATTAAATTGCAAATAGCAAATATGTATATATGTACTGTACTGTAAACAGTACACATTAATCACATATAATGCTAAGAACTAAGAAAAATCATAAGACATATATACTACAATTATATCAGCATAACTACTCAAATCTAAATTAGCGGAAGTTTTATTACTATTTTCTCGGATGAAAGCCATAACCATAACCTAACTTTATTTCTAAAAAGAGCAATTTAAGAAAACTGTCATACTGTCAGATTTTATTCATCCAAGATCAGTGAAAGTTGGAGCTATTAACCCTTTCAATGCTCTCAACTATATTAACATTTTTTGGAGTCAGTGATGTTTCTGTAAATCTGTCTTAATCATAGCCTCCTCAAATATGCTGTGTACAGTAAATTTTTACTTAGACGTGAGAGAATGGGTTTGTGCATGGCTGTGTGCAGTATAGAAAAAATCGTGCCGTATACAGTAGGCTAACAACTAACTTGACTTTGCATTTGGTTTAAAAAAGCAACTCTGAATTGTTTTCTAGGGTTATTTTCATAGTTTTATTGGCTTTTTCTTGGTGCCAACTGATAGGCCAGAAGACATACTAATGAAATGGAGATAATTTTGGTCAATTTCAGACTACAAGTAGGCCTGCTTTAATTACTGGGATGGCCTAACCATGACTAATCATTTTTGGTTATACAGTGGACCCCCGCATAACGATCACCTCCCAATGCGACCAATTATGTAAGTGTATTATGTAAGTGCGTTTGTACGTGTATGTTTGGGGGTCTGAAATGGACTAATCTACTTCACAATATTCCTTATGGGAACAAATTCAGTCAGTACTGGCACCTGAACATACTTCTGGAATGAAAAAATATCGTTAACCGGGGGTCCACTGTATTTTAATAGCTGAAAAATAGGTTAGTATAATATACTGTAGTTTGATAGATGAATGGGCAGTTTCTTTTGCTCAACCAACAGAGCAGAAGCCATACTAGTAAAGTAGACAGGAATGGACCAGTTTGAGCTACAGAATTGGCCTAAAATAGGCCTCAAATTAAGCAAAATTGAAGTTGCTTAAAGTGCTCCCCAATCTCTTACTTTGTGCCTGTGTAATTCTACAAGTTTTACATCAAATTTTGCATTTTTGGTCTCACCTTTTTTTAGAATAGTAACACTGACAGTACTTTTAAATTCAGGGTTTGCTACACTGAAAGTGTTAAACTGGATTTCCTGATTAAGCAGAATAACATCAGTTGAACTGATGACCATTATCTGTATATCCTACACAGAAATTATAAACTCACATGTATCATTTATTGCAAATTAAGTCAGAAGTTTATCACAGCCATAAGATGAGGGGCAGGGAACTGGGGTAAGTGCATAACCCCAGCCCCTGTACCTCAATGCAAGTGACTGGAATAGTGTAGAGTGCAACAAGTTTGCAATGCAGTTACCTATCAACATTGATGTTTCAAAACAAATCAGAAGAGGAATTCACAAGTATGAATAAATAGGATGCACCTCTTTGCAATTAACCCCTTGACTGTCGCAACCCCCAATCTTGAGGTGTCTCCTGGTGTCGCAAAATTTAAAAAAAAAAAAAAAAAAAAAAAAAAAAAAAAAAAAAATCTTATGAAATGATAGGGAATCTTTTCCTGATTGTAATGACACCAAAAAAAAAAAATTTGATGGAAAACTGACTGAATTACGCTCTCACAAAGTTGGCGACCTCGGCGATATTTACAAATCGGCGATATCGCCCACTTTGAGCCCTATTTTTGGCTAATCCCATTGTTCCAGTCAACCAAACTCATAGCTATTTCTTTAGAACTCCGTTTTTTCTATCGATTGAGTACAAGAAACTGCCCATTTACTGATTTCAACTACCCAATAACGTGGTCAGAAATTTGCAATTTGGCCAATTTCACGAAAATTAAAAAATATGACAATTTCAAAATAAGGTCCAGAATGAACAATGCAGACATTCCTGGCTCTAAAATAACATTTTCTTTGTTCATCAGTCATGTCTCCAGGCCCCTCTTATATTACTCTTGCTTTCTATTTTGAATTTTTATTCAAACAAAAAATAGAAGATTTACTGTTATGCAGACTACTGCAATACTGTAATAATTGTACAAATAATGTCAACCCATTCATGACTGCATATCAGAATGGCTAGTTGGACATTTATTGGACAATGACATCATTTGTTTACTTTTGAACATTGGCAAAAATCAAACATTTCCCCTACTTTGAGCTCCATTTACAGGTTCTTTTTATAGTAAAACCATCTTTTTATAGTAAAATCAATCAAAATTACCTCTATTTCTATAATATGTTTTCCATTCTATCAAATGAGACCAAGAAAATGAGAATACAACCATAAATACTATATGAAAATAGACCACAAATTCGGCATTTTAATTAAAAAAACGGTCGGAGTTTTTTTTTCTCGTTATGCACTGCGTGCTCCAGGATTTTTCTTATATGGTGCACACTGACCACACAGACCCATTCTCTCACATGTGGGCCTACCAGCTTTCTCCTGCTCGATTTGAAGCCGCTAGAATTTATGAGTATATATACGTCAAACACGGTACCTCGAAAGACATATACAGTGGACCCTCTCCTAACGAACGCATCGCATAACGTTAAACCCACCTAGCGATACATTTTAACTCAAAAAATTTTGCTTCGGCCAGCGCTAAAAAACTCGCCCAACGCGATTCGTTCCATTCGAGACGGTCCACGTGTGGCCTGAGCGTGCCTCACTTGTCCCGTGGGTGCCAGTGTTTACAAGCCAGCCACCATGGTCGCATCCAAACATACAGGCTACCCCTGAGACGCCTATGCCAGTTGTGGAATTGTAGACAGCCTGTACTGTCTGCACAGACAGCCCATGCTGTCTGCCAGCTTAGTTCATATTTTGCGCCACTCAGGTGCTGCCCTCTGGGCCTGTCCAGGTCTGTGGGAAGCTGGTCCCGCACACACTCTCACAGCGGCCTAACAGGAAGACACAAGGCCTAGTAGCTCTCTCTCGTGGGATGGCCCTCCCGGGCCATGGGCACAACACACAAGCCTGTGTACCCACCACAACTTAACAATAAAGTAAGAAGCCTCCGAAGACGTATCATTTACTCCCTGCTACCAGTTACACCAAATAATCCATTAAACAGAATCCATTGTGCCTACTTCAAAGATTAAGGAAATGTGTGCAAAGTGGGTTGAACTGCAAACCTTTATGGATGAAAATCACCCTAACACAACTATTGCAAGCCGTGCTGGTGACTATTACAATGACAATGTTATGGCCCATTTTTGACAAATTTTAAAGGAACGGGAGGTACAGAGCTCTATGGACAGATATGTTGTGCGACAGAGGTCCAGTGACTCTCAAGCTGGCCCTAGTGGCATTAAAAGAAGAAGGGAAGTAACCCCGGAAAAGGACTTGACACCTCAAGTCCTAATGGAAGGAGATTCCCCTTCTAAACATTAAACACCATCCACACTCTCCCCTCCTCCCATCCCATCAATCATCACCAGATTTTCAATAAAGGCAAGTGTCATGTAATTGTACATGTCGTCGTCAGTTTGTGTGTACACCTACCATCCGACTTACGACCAAGCTTGGTTCCGACCAACCGGTCGTAAGTCAAAGTGGCGTAAGTCAAACCTTTGAAAATTGCCAACATACTGGGTAGGGCATAATGTCAAACTTTTCCTATATAAACTACCTACATAGTACTGTAATGTATGTAATGTACAATCATTATTTAATTTTTTTTACCATAATTTACTTCTATTGTTTTACCATAATTTACTTCTATTGTTATATTTTAATTATTTATTTACTGTATATAATGTATACATGGTAGTGAACTTTATTGTAAATTTTACATCGCATACAGTATCATATGTTACTGTTATCTTTATGTATTGTCGACATAGTGGAATGGGAGAATACCACTGGTAGTGTCATCCTGCCAGAATGTAGTATAACCTATACCCTAAGTAAAGAGAAACAACTCTGGAACATGTGTAATACGTAGCTGGCTGGCTGGCCGGGTGGGTGGGTGGAAGGCCGGGTGGGCGATTGGCTGACTGAATGTGGCTCTCTCTCTCTGTATCTCTCTCTCTCTGTATCTCTCTCTCTCTCTCTGTATCTCTCTCTCTCTCTCTCTTTCTCACAGGTACACATAAGTAAAGTTATCATACATAGTATAAATTACCTAGGATAACCCAAATAATCCAGACAAAGTGCTATACAGTGGATCTATGCTCCAGTGCCCTAAATTAATAATATTAATAATAATTATTATTATTACAATAATACATATGTACTAATATTAATAATATTATTATTATTAAACTATAATATAATAATCGTGTCCACTCATTACTTACCTTAAAATATCTGTAGTCTTAATGTAGAGTGAGAGGTGAGTAAACAAGATTAAATGAATAAACGAATGAGTGTGTAGAAGGTTGGCGAGTTATGTAAACAAACGTTGTTGTTGTTGTTGTTGTTACCAGCCCGGACACGAATGATTCCTGTTCACTCTGTCAAGCCGACCAGAAAAACATCTCATATTTGTTAATTTATATGTTTATATGTTATGTAGCATGTTTATTATATAATTTTGAAAAAGATATCATAGATGGATTAAGCAAAATGTCTATATCAACGTTTTATACACATTTAATGCGCCTCAGTGATTATTATTGTGTTATTATCATTATTAATATGGCATCTTCAAGACCAATTATACTCTTAATGAGTGGCTCTGAGACAGACAAGCAGACAGAAAGACAGACAGACAGACACAGGTAGACAGACACTCAGGTAGACAGATACACAGGTAGACAGACAGACACACAGGTAGACAGACAGACACACACAGGTAGACAGACACACAGGCAGACAAAGACACACACAGGTACACATAAAGACACACACACAAGTAGACAGACACACAGGTAGACAGAAAGACACACACAGGTAGACAATGACACACAGAGATACACAGATATATAGGCAGACAGATACAGACAGGTTTATGTGCAACAGTGAAAACAAATAGAGAGTTCGAGAGTAAGAGCCTTTCTTGCCACAGACTTCATCTTAGGGACCATGGTGAAATTTACTGTCCAGTTAGTACAGTTAATACAGTATGATGCTGCTGATAGGACAGGGTTACTCAAACTGATGCTGCCTGCATGACGCATTGCCGCCACGAGTATTGTCAAATATTGTACAGTGGTGTGCATCAGCCGGCCCAGCCCAGCTGCCAGATGCACGATTGTAAGTCGAGTGGACCTATATCGAGCAGGTCGTAAGTCGGATGGTAGGTGTATTAAAATTAATATTTCATGTGGTAAATTTTTTTTTTCATACTTTGGGGTGTCAGGAACAGATTAATTTGATTTCCATTATTTCTTATGGGGAAAATTAATTCGGCTAACGATAATTTCGCCTAACATTGAGCTCTCAGGAACAGATTAATATCGTTAGGTGAGGGTCCACTGTACATGTACTATATACGACCGAAACAGTCAAAGGGTTAAGGCAAGTGGCAGGTTGGCTACAGGATGTATTGCTATGGTCAGCTACACTACATTCTAGGCATTCTGCCATTGACCTTCTATATTTAGCTGGGTGGCCACAGTGCCAGAAATTTCTACACCGTTGTGGTGTAGGGATTAATTCGGATACTTGTAAATGTTGTCCCGTTGTATATAATGAGGATGGAATTTCTTGGCAATTAAGTGTTAATTTAGCTATATTACTAGGATAGTATCTCCATCTGCAGGCAGGAAGGACAGACTAAACTTACGGAGTATAAGATAAGATTTATTCAGATTTTTAACTAGGAGGGTTAGTCACCCAGGATAACCCAAGAAAGCCAGTGCATCATCGATGACTGTCTGTCTTATGTCGAGTGTGCGTCTGGTGTAGGTCCCCCAGGATGTGACCTACACCAGTCGACTAACACCCAGGTGCCTACTTACTGCTAAGTGAACAGGGACAGCAGGTCCCTGCCCAATGTTTCCACCCATGCTGGGGACTGAACCATGGATTCAAAGTGTGAGTGAGTGCTTTGTCAACTGAGCCACGGGACACCCTATTCTTACAGAATACCTCATCACTAATAATTCAAAGCTGATCAGAAGCAGCATTCTTTAGTTACTGAATATAAATGAATACTACTATTTATTTAATAAAACTGGCAATTTGGGTCTTATGCTACCAAAAAACAATGTCAAGAATGCGTTTAATGAAATCACACCAGCTGATTGTGGCATGGATTCCAACAAATCAAAGCTTTTTTTTTAAACTATTTTATTATATTGACAAATTTGCCCACCAACAATGAAAAGTAAGTTTATTTAGGCACAGGTATACATAAGTACCATTATGTTTACTGATGTGTAAATTACCTAAGATAACCCCAAAAATTCAGACAAAGTGACTTATTTCCACTGGGGTAATATCTTGGCAATAAGATGCATTAGATATTGTACACTGAAGCTGTTCAGAAGATTTGATGGGAATAAAAATTTCACACTATTTTACACATAAATTAGGCAAATGTGCAACTACACACTTGAATTTCACTTTGCCATTGTTGAATTAGGAGGCAGATTATTTTAGTGTTTGAAGTTATGCCACCGAGGGTTTTGAAAGATATCGGAGACATTCCAGGATGCTTGGAATGGGTTCAACAACTTTGGTCATGGGGTACATGCACATACCAGTTGTTCTAAGAATATGACCCTAGTTATAATATAATAATAATAATAACCTTTATTTCTACAAGTACATGTACAAGGTATACAGGCCCAGCTGACATCAATGACATACTACTACATAGAAAGTCACTTGTTATGCAAGCATTTCATGGCAAATTAGGTCAATTTTATTCCCAGGCCACGACCCACACCAGTTGACTAACACCCAGGTACCTATTTTATTGATAGGTGAACATGGACAGCAGGTGTCTTAAGGAAACACGTGTTGTCCTAATGTTTCCACATGTACCGAGGTTTGACCCCCAGACCTCAGTGTGTGAGCCGAGTGTGCTAATAATCAAACTACAGGACACCCTCACAAGCACTGAAAATTTTAAGCTGACTGAATATATTAGGTCATCTCAAGTTATGAGCAAAATAAAAGCAAAAAGTTGGATGAGGAAGAAAAAAGAAAAATTCTGGCAACCACTTTAAGGTCCCTTTCAGGGGGCTACCTTAATAACAGTTTTCATCTTGCAGTGGTATATCATTTTACTCTGCAAGAAGTTGGAATAGTAAGATATTACAAGGACCCCAATGGAAATAAGTCACTTTGTCTGACTTTTTTGAGTTATCCTGGGTAATCTACACATATGCTGCTATGTATGATAATTTTTTTTAACTATTTGTGTACCTGTACCTGAATAAACTTATACAATATTGTTGAGTATTCCAGAGACAAATTTTCAAATGGCAAATGCTCCTGTCTTACAAGTTTCCAAAGCTTGGATGGCTATTACACAAGGCAATGCTTATCTAGAATTTTAGAAATACATGCTACTGTTATGGAAAGCAGGTTATGTCCACATTTTGCATTGACTAGAATTCAGTGGTTCTTAACCTTTTTCGTCCTATGACCCCCCCTCCAGAGACTCTTCAGGGTATTACTGTGACCCCTATAATAAATTCTGAAATGGTGAACCTTGTGTAAAGGTAAGATTAAACAAAATGATAGGAAGACCATGGTTTATTGATAATGCCACAGAACAAAAACCTTGAAAAATTCCACACAGCACTTCAATGACCTACTGTGACTCAAGTCCCACTTACCTCATGCAAATTATTTGCAGGCAATAATTCAGGTGATGCCCTGTAAGCCTCCTGTAAGTAATTTACTCACATAACAATAATAATATTACAACTAGAATTTAGTAGTCCCTTTTCTGCATGTAAAACTATAGTTATTCTCTATAAAATGTATTTTTTGTTAATATTTTTGGGTGTCTGGAATGGTTTAATTGGTTTTACATTATTTCTTATGGGAAATATTAACAAAAAATACATGTTATAGAGAATATCTATAGTTTTGCATACAGAAAAGGGACTACTAAATTCGAGGGTCCACTGTACTACTAATAATAATGATAGTAATAAATAATTTTCACAGGAAAGGCTAAGGAAAAGAAATAAAAGTACAGTGGAACCTTGGTATGCGACCTTAATTCATTCCAGAAGGCTGTTTGAGTGCTGCTCCGTTTGAGTATCGAACAAGTTCTTCCCAACCGATTTTCTGTTTGGTAGGCTGTTATCACTAATCTTCGTAGGCCCCATGGTGACTTATTTATACAAATAATACAAAAAAACACCAAAAATTGTGAAGAAACACGAAATAGTTTATAGCGAAGCTCTGGCAGGTCGTATTTGTTTGGTCGAGTGCTGAGATTTGTTTGAGTAAGGAGCTGGTCGTATACCAAGGTTCCACTGTACATATAAATGTACATATAAATGTACATATAAATGTAAATAATAATAATAATAATAATATCTTTATTTACTACAAGTACATGTACAAGGTATACAGTCCTAACTGACAACAATGACATACTACTATATAGAAACTCCCTTGTTATGCTCTGCATTTCGGGCAAATTAGGTCAGTGTCCCGGGATGCGACCCACACCAGTCGACTAACACCCAGGTACCCATTTTACTGATGGGGAACATAGACAACAGGTGGAAAGAAACACGTCCAATGTTTCTACTCTGGCTGGGAATCGAACCCAGGCCCTCGCCGTGTGAAGCGAGAGCGTTAACCACCAGGCCACCAGAGCCCCAGAAGACAAAACCAGTGACAGAAATAAGTAAGAAGTAGGTACAAGTGAATAAGTAGTAGGTACAAATGAGTAAGTAGGAAAAAATGAGTAAGAAGTAGGTACAAATGAGTAAGAAGTAGGTATAAATGAATAAGAAGTAGGTACAAATAAGTAGGTACAAATGAGTAAGAAGTAGATATAACTTGAATAAGAAATAGGTACAAATGAGTTAGAAGTAGGTATAAATGAGAAAAAATAAGACTTATGTACAAATGAGTAGGAAGTGGGCACAAATGAGTAAAAATAAGAATAAATAGATGAGTAAGAAGTAGGTACAAATGAGTAAGAAACAGGTACAACTGAGTAAGAAGTACGTATGAATAAGTAAGAAGCAGGTGCAAATGAGTAAGAAGTAGGTATACTTTTAGGAAATTGAAAATCATGTAGTCATGCTGATGAATATTATCATCACTGATGACATTAACATGAAATACAGTACAGAGATGTTGAGTTGATCAGAGGAAACAAAATTACACCTGACTGATGGAAACTTGAGAGAAAGTATAAATAAGCAGCTTCATTAATGGGGATTATTATTATTATAATCACAACTAAGCGCTAAACCCACAAGTCATACCCCATAAATATTGAAGAGACAGTATTCACCTTGGAAGTGTTGTTGGGGTTGTTCAGGGCCACCAAAACTGACGCTGTATTTTTAAGTTTAATTAGGCACAGGTAAGATATGATTTTGTTCGGATTTTTAACCCCGTAGGGTTAGCCACCCAGGACCCCAATTCAAAGTTTATTCTCTATAAGGATTACAATGTTGAATTTACAGAATTTGGTTATTGTGTGGTTTACATGTAGTAAAATAATGATTACAGAGTGTACCACTAGAACACCTAGCATGGCTAGGCATTTCGGGCAGGCTTAGTTAATTCTTTATTTTAAAATATTACAAATTATGAGGTAAGTTGGTATTATGGCTAAGTGACTAAATACTAGTTTGTGAGTTTAGCAATGTGAATGTTTTTGTTTTGGCACAGTACATAGTTTCAGTATTGGAGTATCACAGGATTCATTATTTTAAGATTGAGATTAATATTTCTGTTTATTATCAAATGGGTGAGTGAGTGTAAGTGTTAACCACCAGGTGGTATTCGTGTAGTTAGTTGACGGGGCGTATCAGGGAGATAAGATGTTTTCTAATGGTAGTTTTGAAGAGATTAGATTTTGCCACCGAAGTGGCTAGTTTATTGTGCACCCCATATCCATCCTGTGGACGGTAGCGCGAGAGCATATGGATACACAAAAGGCCTAGGAACTAGGCCCCAAAGGGTTAACAGGAATACATATGGATTTATATCTACATATCTATAGTTCACTTATCTGTTACAAGCAAATTTAGGAAATTTGCTTAGTATATCTGGTATCTTATTTTCATTAATAAGATATCTTGACATGTCACATAGGTTATTATACTGTCTGTCTCTGTATTCCTCAATAAGTGGACAATTAAGCACATAGTGTTCAAGAGAATGACCAAATGCCTGATCACATAATTTACATTTAGTTTGATCATCATCTGTGTGTCTCCCAAACTGCCAGAAGTACTTATAACCAAGCCTAAGCCTGGCCACTACAACATCAGTCAGTCTGTTCACATTGCAAGTTGCTCCATAAACATACTTATCTACGTTCATGTTATCATAGTGGGTTATAGATCTACTCAGGCTTCTAACTGCATTCCTATAACAATCATTTTCATTATTTACTTCTCTCCTAATATTATTCCTAATGCTAGACACAGTTATACCAAAGTTATATTTTGAAGGTGATGAATGTGTCTGCAGTTCTCGAGTTCTCAGGTAGGGTGTTCCAGATTTTAGGGCCTTTGACATACAATGAATTTTTGTAAAGGTTTAGTCGGACACGGGGAATGTTGTGTCTAGTGTAGGCGCCCTTATAAACACAAACATTAAAAATCAGGAACGTGACGGTAAGCTGTCCAATATACAAAAAGAGTTAGAAACAGAAATACAAATAGCTAGAGCTTCATTTAAGGTTATTAATATAATATTCAAGAGGTTGCTAGTAGAATTGCAGTAAATCAACCATTCAAATCATTATGAAGCTGTGTGTAGTCTGTGGTCAGTCAAACAAACGGGCTTCCACATGGATAAATTGTCATTTTTGTGGAAATTGGTGTCACGCCCCTTGTGCAGATATCCCAGAACTAGCTACAAGCAGTATTAAAACAGAGAAGTGTTTTTGGGTATGCCCAAATGAGGAAAATCTGTGGACTAAAATCACAAGGGTATTAAAAGAGGACAACATCAAAGCTGCTTTCATAGAAAACCTGGAAGCTTTCTACAACAGATGGGAACATAAAAAGTCTGGGCTGGAGGTGATGTCCTGGGAGACAGTAATAGTAAAGCTGGAGGTGCTGTCCTGGGAGACAGTAATGGTGAAGCTGGAGGTGCTGTCCTGGGAGACAGAAATGGTGAAGCTGGAGATACTGTCCTGGGAGACAGTAATGGTGAAGCTGGAGATTTTGTCCAGGTAGTCGGGAATTATACGCAGGAAGGAATACATATAAATGACCTCATAGGGGACAGGAGCCATAGTAGGGAAACAAGTGTAGTCAAAGATAAGATAAAACCAATATTGCAAACTAGAAATACCGCAGGAAATAGCAAACAAGAGGACTCCAATAGCAATAGTGAGGATAAATTACCAAAAACAACTGGTGGGAGCTCCATTGTTGGTGCTAGGGAGGATAGAAGTAAGACAGGGAAACATGCACCAACAGAGAATACAGTCACAGAAACCCAAGGCAAGCGGAAACCAAGCCTGTGCACATACTATGCACTTGGTATCTGCTGGCATGGGAAATCTGGAAAAATAGATGGGACATGCAACTATGACCACCCTAGAAAATGCCATGCCCATATGACAACAGGAAAATGCAAACTCCCTTCATGTAAGCTTTTTCACCCTGAAATGTGTACCTCTTCAGTACAGGAAAGACTGTGCTATAACTTAAATTGCCAGGCATACCATCTAAAGGGGACAAAAAGATACAAAACATCCAGGCCATGGGAAAACCTGGGTAGCCACAGCCACTCAAGAGGGAGAGGTTTTTTAGTGCCAGGAAGGAAAAAAACTGGCAGGAAATGGCAGAAATCGTACACCAAATCCAGTCATTCCTGGAGTGGAACCACAGTCGATGGCCTCCACTCCAAACCAACAGATACAGATACTAATGCCGGAAAAAAAATCCCCCCCCAGTACCAACAATACCACCAGTCCGATAACATTCTTCTTTGCAAATATACAGGGTCTAAAGCCAGCAACAAACAACAAAATACCTTTCATCCGTGGACTGCTTGCAGAGGCAAAGGCAATGTTCGCGGCTTTCACTGAGACCCACATAAAGGATCACTTGGACAACGAAATATGGATCCCAGGTTACAACCTATACAGATGTGACAGAGTGAACAGGCAAAAGGGGGGGGGGGGGGTTGGCCTGTACATTGCAGAGTCACTTGTTTGCACAGAACTGCTTAATGCCTCAAATGATGTAGTGGAAGTTTTAGCAGTAAAGGTCGAGAACCAAAACCTAGTCATTGTGGTAGTCTACAAGCCTCCGGATGCAACATCCCAGCAATTCCAGGAACAGCTGTTAAAAATTGACCACTGTCTGGAAAATCTTCCAGCTCCTGCACCCAACATCTTGCTCCTGGGGGATTTCAACTTAAGGCACCTAAAATGTAGGAATATAGCAAATAATATTGTTGCAGTAATAACACCAGGAGGCAGCTCTGATGAAAACTCACACTCACACGAGCTTTTAAATCTCTGCACAAAATTCAATTTAAACCAGCAAATAATAGAGCCTACTAGACTGGAGAATACACTAGACCTCATCTTCACTAACAATGATGATCTGATAAGAAATGTCACCATATCAAAAACAATATACTCAGATCACAACATAATTGAGGTTCAGACATGTATGCGTGGAGCCCCAGACCGACAAAATGAGACTAGTCACGAGGGAGCATTCACCAAATTCAACTTCAATAACAAAAACATAAAGTGGGACCAAGTAAACCAAGTCCTAACCGATATAAGCTGGGAAGATATACTAAGCAACACAGACCCAAACTTATGCCTAGAACAGATTAACTCGGTGGCACTCGATGTATGCACAAGGCTTATTCCTCTAAGAAAAAGGAGGAGTAGATGTAAAATAGAAAGAGACAGGCGCTCCCTTTACAGGCGACGGAAAAGAATAACAGAGCGGCTAAAAGAGGTCAATATATCTGAAATGCGCAGGGAGACACTGGTCAGAGAAATAGCAAGCATCGAACTTAAGCTAAAAGAATCCTTTAGGAGTCAGGAATCGCGGGAAGAACTAAAAGCTATAAATGAAATCGAAAGAAACCCAAAGTATTTCTTCTCCTATGCCAAATCAAAAATCGAGAACAACGTCCAGTATTGGGCCCCTACTTAAACAAGATGGGTCCTACAGAGATGACAGCAAGGAAATGAGTGAGCTACTCAAGTCCCAATATGACTCAGTTTTTAGCAAGCCGCTAACCAGACTGAGAGTCGAAGATCAAATGAATTTTTTATGAGAGAGCCACAAAATTTGATTAACACAAGCCTATCCGATGTTATCCTGACGCCAAATGACTTCGAACAGGCGATAAATGACATGCCCATGCACTCTGCCCCAGGGCCAGACTCATGGAACTCTGTGTTCATCAAGAACTGCAAGAAGCCCCTATCACGAGCCTTTTCCATCCTATGGAGAGGGAGCATGGACACGGGGGTCGTCCCTCAGTTACTAAAAACAACAGACATAGCCCCACTCCACAAAGGGGGCAGTAAAGCAACAGCAAAGAACTACAGACCAATAGCACTAACATCCCATATCATAAAAATCTTTGAAAGGGTCCTAAGAAGCAAGATCACCACCCATCTAGAAACCCATCAGTTACACAACCCAGGGCAACATGGGTTTAGAACAGGTCGCTCCTGTCTGTCTCAACTACTGGATCACTACGACAAGGTCCTAAATGCACTAGAAGACAAAAAGAATGCAGATGTAATATATACAGACTTTGCAAAAGCCTTCGACAAGTGTGACCATGGCGTAATAGCGCACAAAATGCGCGCTAAAGGAATAACAGGAAAAGTCGGTCGATGGATCTATAATTTCCTCACTAACAGAACACAGAGAGTAGTCGTCAACAGAGTAAAGTCCGAGGCAGCTACGGTGAAAAGCTCTGTTCCACAAGGCACAGTACTAGCTCCCATTTTGTTCCTCATCCTCATATCCGACATAGACAAGGATGTCAGCCACAGCACCGTGTCTTCCTTTGCGGATGACACCCGAATCTGCATGACAGTGTCTTCCATTGCAGACACTGCAAGGCTCCAGGCGGACATCAACCAAATCTTTCAGTGGGCTGCAGAAAACAATATGAAGTTCAACGATGAGAAATTTCAATTACTCAGATATGGTAAACATGAGGAAATTAAATCTTCATCAGAGTACAAAACAAATTCTGGCCACAAAATAGAGCGAAACACCAACGTCAAAGACCTGGGAGTGATTATGTCGGAGGATCTCACCTTCAAGGACCATAACATTGTATCAATCGCATCTGCTAGAAAAATGACAGGATGGATAATGAGAACCTTGAAAACTAGGGAGGCCAAGCCCATGATGACACTCTTCAGGTCACTTG